AATAATAATCATAAGTATGTACATGCACATTCATATTTCATGTATTTTGGAATTATTTGAAACTTGAGATGATCCAAAGCCAGACTGGGATAGAGGGAAATGCTGGATAAATTTAATTTTATTGTTCTGTATCAGTGAGTGATTTCCTTTTCCACTGATGCATGACTGGTATAAAACAGGACAATAGCAGACCATGGAGATTTAAAACACTAGTCCTGCTGCCTGAGAATGCTTCAGATCCCCTGGTGCTTACAGGAATAATCCACCTTCCATTTTTCTCATTGGTTTTGATCACTGTTAAAACCACCTCATTTCCTAAGAGCACTGGCAACGCACACAACCTGCATGTAAGGCTCTGTCACTGTTTTCAAAGCCAGTGCAGGTGCTTTTTTTGTTATTCTATACTCTGTGATCCAACAAATTTCACAGAAAATTGTACAAGAAATATTGAGGTTGCCTCTGAAAGAGTTTAAAAAACACTGGGAGAAGATTGAAGAAAAGGGAACTGGAAAATTTAAGCATTAAGTAAATGTGTCTGAGAGCACCGACTGTAACACAGTAAACTTCAGTATAGATGAACAAATCATGTATTATTCAAAGGCCTTGAAGAACACACAGACATTATCACCTACTGACTGTACAAATGGTTCAATACCACTGTAAATTATATGGTAAAAAGCCCATTATTCACAGCATAAAAGAGACAGTATTAAAATTATGAATATCTTGTATTCCTATTATATTTTTATAGCATTTTTGTTGTGAAGTATTAGAACTGAGGGAACATTATCAGAGCTTTTCTGTTAATATTTGCTCAGTAACCTCATGGGCTCACTTGGCCTTTGTTCCCACCTCCTTCACACTGGCTATGTGTGACCAGTCTTATTTACTGTCATCCTGGGAGAAATGTGGGCAGCTGCTGCAAAGTGTAGTGAGAAGTAAACATGTGTATTCTCACAGAGCATGAAAAACTTCTAAATAGGAGAATTTTTACATGCTTTCAACTAGGGTGTAGAAAAGGTGAAGGCTCTCATGTCCACTCAAACATGTGTTGCTTATACTGAGTACTATGAACTGCCTAAAAACCCCATAACAACAAACCAAAACAAAGAAAAAAATAAATGAAGTGGCCACAAGACTGTTTTGCTAATCGAAGACACCAAAGAAAACTGCAAGTCATGTGTTGATAAGAACCAAAAAATCCCACCTTAGGTGTATTAATCAATTCACTGCTGCCACTTGCTCATTGGCATTCTCTGGCTCACACAGCCTACTTTATTCATGCTGCAGAAAAACAGTCTTAGCTTATTCAGAAAGATGACATCAAATTTGCATGAAGATTAGGTCAATGAAGAATGATAGGTAGACATTACAGTCCTTAGCCAAATATGACAATGTTGGTATAATCTTTATATTTGACACTGTCACAACAAAGTTATTTTGAAGTAATGAAATTGATTATGATGCCAAGATCTGGTAGAACCACCAAACCACCTGAGAAGGAAGATGAGGCAGGAAAAGAAATCTCTCATGGAGTAACAAAGACAATATCTCCACATTATGCACCAACAATAGAAGAGAGTTGGTCCCACTTAATGTAAAATATGTAATGGGAATGGCGAAAACCTGCTGTGTGGGTTAGGAACACACAAAGCTGCATCTGTCCCCTGGCTTCTGGTGGCAAGGGCTGGGGACCCCCTGGATGCCTCTTTCCCCAGAAAAAGGGACCTTCACAAGCTGCTGTAACACAAACCAAGTAAATCCATTTGGGATTTGATCTGGAGATGTATTTGGGCAAATGGAGAAAATAATAACAGCCACGACAGAGAGAGGAACAGACTGATGCCCATGGAATGTGCTCCTGCCAAGGGCCATGCAAGATAAATGGCAGGGAGGGAAGGGAGCATTCAAAGTCATCCTTCAAGGAAAAAAAGCACAACCTTGCAGTAGTGAAGGGAATCATGAAAGTAAATGAGCAACAGAAGAGGCAAAGAAACAGAAACTGGCATCTCTGTTTCAGTGACAAGATTTGGCTTTAGTTTTTCCCTCACTGTTGCTACTCCATAATTCATGGGTGATTGAGGCAGGTTTCAGGACAGTGTCTACTGAAGGAGCAGCAAGGAATAATTTATAACTTCTGAGCCTGCCACAGACTGGCCTCTCCATACTTTTTTCAGATGGGGTACCAAACAAAAAGTTTGCTGGACTTGTCAGGAAGTGATGCTTGGGAATACATGGCAACTTCCCACCCTTCACAGCACAAGAACACATGTGCAGACTGAATTTCAGCTCCTTCAGGAGGAGGAAGACTGTGTCCAGGAGTCCTGTGTACTATGGTGGTGTGCTACCCATGGTGAGATCTCACAAGAGGACCTTTTATCACTCCTGTTATTTATTAAAAAGGTTAAGCTGACTCCTATGTACAATTGTATTCCCTCTTGAACAGAAAAGAAAGCGAGATCTCCACACAGTCCCACTCCTGCAGTCCAGCTGTGTCCTGGAGCAGTGGCTGGTAGGAATGGAAGGCAGTACAACCTCTCCTCTGCAACACTAACTCAACTGTCAAGGCATCAGCCTTCATGAGATATTTTCTGATTAAACTGGACTGAGAAACACCAAAAGCTTGATTCTGATCCCATGAAGTCATGGTTTAGCCAATGCTATAAACAGGGTAAGACTGAGGCTCAGCTTGTTTTATACACACTACTGAATAACCGTCAGTTGGAGACAGCTTGAGGCAATGATGGACCACAGATGGGAGTCCAACACCTAATATGGGATCTCCCAGTCCTTGTCACCTCTCAAACGTGACTAGTGTGTTCAGGTGTGAGCTCAATGCTATACCTGAACATCTGTGGATTTTCAATGAAGGGGTGCAAGCTTTCTTAGTGACAGATTATGTCTTGGAATTGTATACACTGTAAAACCCAGTGTGAAATTAAATGAATCCTTTTAATGCAGGTAAAGAAGGTAGGATGTTGCAGATGACCTTTTGAAACGTCTTAATGTACAAACAAAACAGCAAATCTAGAATCTTATTGTGAGTTAAAGTACTGACTCCTGCAGGAAGATTTGGGAATTCATCTTAGCGAGAACAAAACCACTAAATAAGTCAAAGTTTTGCATTAAAAACAGGTTAGTATGTCAAAAGTTACAAAGCAAAATCTGGAATAAAACAAAGGCCAAAGAAAATGTCCTTTCTATTAAGTTTTAAGAGCAGCACATTGGGCTTTTGAGCCATTCACTATCCATTTACAAAAGAAGTTTTGGGCTGACTGCAACAACCTAACTTGAAAGGGCAAGACATTCCTTTGTACTTCACGTCTGCTGGCTTTGAAGTCACCATGAGTCTCACCAGTGACTTCAATGGACTAGCTCTGCACTTTTATATTAGCCATTGTTTTATCCTTACTGCTTTTAAAATTCCAGAAAATAACACTTTATTGTAATCCTGACAGAGCAATTAGGGTCCAGTCCACACCTGCACCCAACTTCTTTTCTTAACACAGTGTCCCTTTGAGCTCCCCTACTCAGAACAGAATTAAGATATGAGTTAATGGTGTCTCTCTGTTTTATCTAGTGCCTCTGGTTTTCATGACCTGCTGAAGAACTTGAAACTCTTCAAGGCTTGTACATCTTATCTTTGGTTAAGACCAGCTATAGGATTCACCTACAGTTTTGTGAGTGTGCTTAACAGCAAAAGAAAAGCTTCTTTCTATTGGTGTAATTATGCAATAATGGAATGTCGATTAAAGTTTAATCATTCACAGGTGCCTTCATAGGATGTTTTCAGTCATGACTTTGTAAACTGAACTGCATTCTCAGTGTAACAAGCTAAGAAAGACTGCCTCATAATTTTAAAATTTGAAAGCATTTTTTAAAGTAATAAAATATTTTTTTCTGTCTTTAATATATAAACTGGATATGTACACACCAGAAATGCTTGCTGAGAAAACATGAGGTTCTCATCCCTCCCAGGATCCCCCAGCCTCTCACTGTTTAGTAATGAATGTGCAAGCCTCAAGTTTACACAATCCTCCACTCCTCAAGAGCCACCAATATTCCTCTCTAACCTTGGGCTACAGGTGGACCAGCTCCTGCTCCCTTGCTAGTGTCTTTGCAGCACGTAATTGAGGAAAGACAGCCAGAAGAAACTATTTTTCCCAGTGTTTGCTCATCCATCTGCCCCTTCTAACTCACCTGGGGGAAGCTGAGTGCTGAATGACAGGACCAAAGAGGAAACACTGGGTGCTTCCAAAACCTGCAGTTATGCCACCAATCTTATTGGAAGGGTAATTAATGGGATTAGTACCACTTACTCCCCTTCTTCTCACATGATTTATGTTTTGCTGAGCACTTCCAAACCATAGCTCTCTCCCCAGTTGCTGCGTGTTGTCACCCTGCAGTGGTGACAGGGGAGCCCCAGAGAGGAAGACAAGCTATGGCACTAGATCTGATATGAAATCCAGGCACAAATAACAAGGTGGTTTTCCTTCAGCAAAAATAATCCCCATGACAAAGAACAGCACCAGTGATTTCTTTTTGCAATGTTTGTTACAGGGCAAGACCACAGGATTAATTTATTTGTCTTTTTTTTTTTTTTTTGGCACTGTCTTTTCAAATGGCTAATTAAATCAAAGTGAATGGTTGTTGTCCTTTGAAATATTGATGAATCAAAACTAATGTGACACCAGGGGGGTCCTGTGAGCTGACATAAGGGATAACTTGGTTCATTTATTTATTAAGGGCTTGATCCTGCCACAGAATTTGTTATACTTATCTAAGTGTCTGTAACAAACACATTTTGGTGAGTAAATCTGAACGTGACGTGCACAGAACCATGCACTAAAGTAGCAGGCAAATGAGTGTAAAAGTATGCTCATGCTTCTACATTTTTCTATAAAGAACACAACATTCCTATACATAATCTATAGATTTAGAGCTATGCACTGTATGGTAGGTACACAAACAGAGACATATATACAGGAGGAGCTACTTGCCATCAACACAGGAAGGTCTGTTTCTTGTAGTCCCAGCCACTTTCCCAGGTAGACAGGAGCATTTTACTGTTTGTGATCTTTCCTCAATTCGATTCTTATTACAGCATCTGTGTGCTGCTATAACTTCACATGTTCCTCCTTCTGGCAAAAAGGAAAAAAAGAAAAGAACAAAGGAAAAAAAGAAAAAGAAAAAGAAAAAGAGAATATTGACACTCTGATTAGGAAGAGCAGCAGTGGCTAGTCAAAGCACCTGTCTGTGTCTCTGCATGGCTTCTATACAGCTGGGATTACACCAATATTTCTCCCATTATGCATGCTCCTGAGTAAGCCCAGTGCTGCTATACTTCAGTTTTAATAGGAAATGCAGATAAATGTCCCTCTGCAGCAGATAGAGCTTGCCTGTCTTATATTAGAAGCTTGTCTGATACCAGCAGAATTTTTAGCCTAAAAATGACAGCACTCAGTCTGTGCCTGAAGAAATGTAGGTAACATACAACAGTAACTGGGCAACAACTGCTGACTGATTTTATGATTGTAATATTGGAGGTGTCTCCCTCTGACTATTCCTTTGTACAAGGATGGGGACTTAGGGACTAGGGAATACATCTAGAAACAGTCTTTTTCTCCAATATTTGATTCTATGCCAGAACTCAGCCCTTGGGGAATGACAATCAACCTCTCCAAATTACAGGATAGTCCAACAACACTTCCTGTTGCTACCCCACTCACTAAATTGGCAGTTTTAAGGCAGAAAACTTTCCCATTGTTTGCAAGATCACCAGGCTTATTTTGTCTTCTCCCTGCTTGATCTTTATGAACATTTGCAGTAGCCTGACTAGGGGCAGAACACAATGGAGTGACAGATAGATAGATGGTGGCTTGGGGTTTATGAGCACTTAGTGTTTGGGACACAGAAAGGAAGTGTCAAGTGTTTTTATTCCCTTTCACCTTAGCAATGCAGTGCAAGGAGATGAGACACCACAGTGGGCAAATGCACTGCCCAAGTAATGACTCCATTCCTCAGTTCAGATTGTGTTGAGCTCATAATCACCAAGTATTTAATGGTGCCAGTCTGTTCCCCACTGATATTTGGCTGCTTTATAAAATTGCAGCATAAATTTGGCAGGATTTGTTTGAACTTAGTGCAAAACATCATGCACACACCTACAAAAGAGCAGGGTGTGTAAGAAGGTTTTCCAGGAAAGCCTTACTACCTTATGCCACTACCCATACATTGCTTTTACTATAGGATAGGAACCATTGTTCCTGTATTTTGATGTCAGTCTTTTTAAAATGACTTTGAGGGCTTTTGAACACCCTAGTAGTCCTGCAGACAGGCAAGAGAATAAGCTGGGTGGAGATGCCAATCCACAACTGGCTGCGGGAAAGGGATTTTGGAAGAGGTCTGGGAGCCTAGTGGCATCTCCCCTCTCAGGAGCAAGTCCTGTTACCTGATGATTCTACAAAGGTGACATTTGTGTAGTAAAGCACTGGGATGGGTGAGCAGGGAGGAATCTCCCTTGACTTTCTGTTGCTAAGGTCATGTGGTGCTGTGCCACCAGGTGTACCTGCAGTATGAAGTGGTACAACAACTACCAATGAACAGGGACTTCACAAAACGTGGAAATGTTTTATAACATTACATTTTCAAAACAATGACCTTTCAAAGTGAGTCAGTGGGTGACAGCCTGTGAACATTCATTAGGGTAAATGAGCTTAGGTTGTGTGGTCATGGGGTTAAGCACTGATGGGTTTGCAAGCATGAGGCAAGTCTAGCTCTGCAGTAAATATTTAACTCCTCTGAAGACAAATGCTGCTTCATGTATTAGTTATCAGGTGAATTTTGCCTGCTGACACAAGCTTTTTGAAAGCCAATAGGCGCCACAGAAGAGAGATCCCAACAATTCAGAAAGCCATCACCTGACAGTCTTGTCAGGGTCTCCTAGGAGTAAGAGGAATCGTGACAATCAACTCAGCCCCAAATGCCTGTATTTTTTCTGTGAAGCAATTCTTCAGACAAACTCCCTGCTCCCCCATCCAAACAATATTGAAAGCAATGAAAAGACCCTCATTGCTTAAATTCATCTTATGGTTATGCCCTAAGAGAAGACAGATTTGCAATGTTATTGATTGCAACCCCAACAATAAAGATAATGTACGCAGTAATAAGCATTTCTAATTTTAGACTACATAGACTGTGTGGAAAATATCTGTGAATAAGCTAACTGCTTAATTTTCCCCATTAATTTGCTATATGAGTACTAATAACCACATGAGCTAGTCTTGCATATTTGGTTATCTATTAAAAATAATGGGATGTGGTGGATGAGCTTTATAACACCTTTAATTGTTATGTGGAAGCTCAAGTTGCTGCAGCAATAAAGAATTAAACTCAAAGTGTAGAGCTCTTTAGGAGTGGCAAAACATAGTGAAACTATAAAAGCAAGGAAAAAACCACTTCTTTTACCACTAGACAGTTAAGTACATTAATTGGAACTTTTATCTGCATGGACTATAACTGTAATGTAAATCATAATAATAACAATAATAAAAAGACCCTTCCCAGTGCTGACACAGAAGAAAAAAATTCATCTCACATGGATAAAGTTCTGCATGTTATGCACCCTGTTTTCCTGGAAGATTTGTTCTGTGGGATCAGGGTTTCTCCATTCAAGCATGTTTAACCCATAAATGACTACTTGGTTGCATGGCACACATTGTCTTTGCTGGTATATATTTTACCAACCATACATATACATATTAGACTTCTTAAAAACCATCTACAAAATGGGAATAGATAGAGCTACCCAGACAAATACAAGTGAACATGGTGAGAATAGGAAAACACCTCACTGAAAAAACCTGCTCTTTCTTATGGTATTCACAGAAATATGTATACCACAAATATAAGGGGAGGTTCAAGTTAAAGTTCTACTTCAGCAGTACAAAGGAGGAAGCAAGTTAGAAAGAGAAAAGGAACATGACTCAGTCTTCAGTTTCCACTGGAAAAAAATCTAGTGTGTTCAGATGTATCTCTGAAGTAACTTCTTATTCTGATATCTTCAGGATTTTTATTTTTTATTTCAATTTTTCTTTTGTTTTAGAGGGGGGGATGCCAGGTAGAGTGTGAAGAAATTCTGTAATACCAATATCTGAGAACTTCTGCTCCTGAGCCAGGGATTTTTTTTTTTTCTAGGTGGTTCTTCTATATTATAGGAAAAGCTGGCAAGATGTTACAATGCTTGGGGGCCTGAACAAATATGAATTATTGACCTGGTGGGCTGTGATTGAAGCAGAAATTTGAATCCTTCTCACAAAGAACAGAAATGTCTTTTTTTTTTTTTTTTTTTTTTTTTTTTTTTTAACTTTATGGTCTGTTGAGCTAAGGTAGCTTCTGGCTTTGTTTCCACAATAACAGCCTCAACCAACTCATTCAAGTGAATTTGCCACTGATCCTAAGAGGAGAGGAAAGGGGCCTAAAATCCTCTAAGTGTCTTCTGAATGTTTCCTTGACAGCCACGTTTCATGAAGTAGCTGCTTTATCCAGCTGGCAAGAAAAAGATTCTCTCCTGCCCCAAGAAATACAGAAAGAGATTAGAAATAGAACAGGATTTTGTAAATCAGGAATAATTTTGCTCTTTTTTCAAGAAGCTTCAGAGATGAATAAAGATGTCCTAACATGACTTATATCCTCTCCACATCAAATGTCAGCAGGACTTGATAGGAAAAGCAGCTGACCCTTCCTGAGCATTCAGTTCACAGGATGCCCTCAACTTTGGATGAAGGAAATGTGATGACTACCAAAGTAAGAAGGACAGAGCTGGCTGTCAAGAAGAAATCTGGGCTGGTGAAAATGGCAACTGTCTGTGGTGTTACAAATCTGTTCAGATTTCCTAGCTTTCCAAAAGTGTTTGTTCTGCACAGGCTTAAAATAAGAAACTGCAGAAATTATCCATCATTGTTACTGTAAAACAGGAGCAACTTTGATACTCCTGCAAATGGTTTCATTCTAATTGGAGGACACTAAATTCCTGAAAACATGTTCATTTTTGTTTCTATTATAAAGCCACATTGAGTTTACAGACTGAAGAATGAAATATCTTATAATAAGTAGGAACCTACTGTAGGTGGCTGTGATTTAAAAGATCTAATCATCTATAGGGTCTGAGTGCATGTCTGGCAGAAGCCAAAAAGCCATTTTCTAGTCATCTCTGTTTTTTATATCTCTAGCTGGGAGGTAATATTAAGAGCATATTTTGCACTTCAAAATTATAACTTGCCTCTGTATTCTAGCCAAGCCTAAACTTATCAGTAAACAACCATAAAAAAGGCAAACAGCAGTACTGATTTGTGTTACACATTGAGAAACTCATTAACTATGACTCAGGTAGCAAAACTTATACATTCTCTCTTTGACAGTGATGACAATTTAATAGTATTTGACTCTGCTGAGTTACATGGAGCATCCTGCAGCAATGAGAGAGGCTGTTTATCAAAATGATAAACATGTTTTCATTTCCTCCTTGGCTGCATGTATGTGATCAGAAGTCTAAGGCCATCAAGAATTCACTTATTCTGGCCACCAGGCAGACATTAAGCTATTCAGGACCATCTGTGCTCAAAATGAGTTCCACTTAATGGACCTTCCTAGGGCAGGTCAGTCCTAATGAATGCATGTGTGCATGAATGCATGAGCAGTGTTTAGGTGAGACTTCTTGAGTTGTTTGGTGGAGGCACAGAGGGCTGAGAGATAAGATTTGCTTTTCTTTTTGGGGTCACACACCCAGCGATTTTAGAATTCAGATCCTTTGTTACATTGGCTTCTATCTCATCCTCAATGCACCACACAACCTAATCCAGGTGAAGGTCATTGCAAGAGCTTGTTCATAGAATCATAGAATATGTTGAGTTGGAAGGGACTCATCAGGATCATCGAGTTCAACTCCTGTTGCTGTGCAGGGCACCCCTACATGTTACTCACAAAATAATAGTCAGAACAACTTCATAGACCTTACTGGTCATATTTTGCCCTCTGTTACAACATAAGCAATCCACCATGGGAAAAGGAAATCATATGGACCAACTCTATTAACATTTCCAAGCAGCTCATTAGAACTACTGCTGGTTTTCCTAGCTCTGTT